CCGGGACATGCCGGAGAGTTAGAACCACCTTAAGCCTGCTTCTGGGCAGAGCAAATTCATTGGCAGCCTTGATAGTGGCTGACCGCCCTTGCACGCGTCGGCTACTTTCGAGTGCATCCCCTTCTCATCGTGTGTGAAATACGGGCGGGATTTAAACGTACTGAACTGTAGAGTTAATCAGTTGTGTGCAAAAACTTGCTCCAAAACGAAAGACTGCCACAGGAAAGCTTAAGTAGTTACAGGCTAAAGCAAATGCATAAATCAGGTACCCATTTAATGCCACTTTTTTAAATTTTTGTATAATCTACCTTTAAATCATTCCAAGTGAGTTTTGCCTAAAATATTAAAAAGTATCTCGTTAAAAGACGCTAAATAACTCACAAAGTTCATGAAAAAAAGCACAAAATGTGCAACTGTAAGGAGTGCCCAGAGGATGAGAGTGGGAAAATAAGTTGATAGTTCACTGTCCGTGCTGAATGACCACCCGCAACTCAGCAACACTAACAACAAGCACAACAAGCATATTGACAGCAATCGAGCCGTCTCGCCAACAAGACGAGCAATCAGAATGCCCTGCAATATAAATTACACAGGATCTGCAGTGTCTAAAAAATAGAGAGAATATTCAACTCGTAATCGCTAAAATACTTGGTCGTGGTGGTCTAAAGGTGACGACATTCGAAACGAGGTAATGCTCAGCACACACTGTCCAAGTGCTTTTGCTGGATGAACCGCTGATCTGATAAGCTGTTCAGAATACGGAACGAACGTCGTCAAGAATACCGGAAAACTGACCACTGGGCCATGCAACACTGGGAAGTAAATGCAAATGCTGCCAGCTGCACCGCTAAAGTCGCCTCTATGGGATGCAGCTGGATCAAGCGTTGCAAGATTACTCATACTATCTCCGTTCGGGGTTATCGATGTTACTAAGGTGAAATTACACGCAGGATATCAACCCAAACTTTCCTGTGCTCACCTGACTGTCCTTGTCGTCTTCAGTGACTCTACAAACTAGCCCTTTGAAGACTACCCATTCAGGGACTTCAAGCGAATACCCTTCAACCTGTTTTAGCAGGTGGAGTGAAATTCAAGACCGAACCAATGCGAATACAAAACAAAGACTCCCATCACATTCCCCTTCGCCTAATATGAGAAAAACTAAAAAATTGCAAAAGGGGAAAGTGTAAAAAACGCAAAAAATCCTACATCCAAAACAGGAGTTAACGTAGCAAAAACTAGCTTCAGCTTGATGCTAAAAATATAAAACGATACAAAAAGTGTCAGAAAAAAAAAAATAATACTTGGCCATCGAAAGAAAATACGAGAACGTTTAAGCATTGTAACAGCAGCCCGAAAGACTTCAGTGCAATGACCGCATTGAGCAACTGATGGCGAGGTAACGTAGTGGCT